AAGCGTGGTATTTTGCCAGACACGAGAGAGAAGTTCGGTTAATATTTATGGAGGTGTTCTAAAACTTATTTCTATCCTCTGAATTTTTTCCACGATGCTCTGTTATCAAAATTCCCTTAGTAAAATTTAATGTACCTAGGAGTACATTAAAGGAATTCTTCTATTTCTTCATGCACATTTTAAAATATGGGTTATTTGTCCATTTTCTCTGATAGAGGAATGAGCCCTCCTTTCTTCATCTCAACCACTTTACCTATGTTGTTGGTGGTGAAAACTGCTTGGGTTGAAGTCCCTTTTTTCCTTTTTATGCTGTTGTCTTGCTTTGCTTGACCTAAGGGTAAATATTAAAAACTAAATTTCCTTATGAAATTTTGGAACCAATTTTCACCTATTGTATGTCTATAAAAAGTCAGAAAGGACCCCTAAGATCATTGACATCGCCGAAAAATAACAAAATTTATATGAATTTGTATTAGTCCAGGAGGTCAGTATAATATATCCAGATTCTAGCTCATGGCGTCACCCCCCAACCACATACCCTGTGTCTAAATTAGCTCTCTTGGGTTTACAAAAACCTCATAAGCAAGGTAAGTTCTGTCTTCAGTCCCATGCTCACAAGTAAATAGGCTGCAGTAGGTCTTAGAGGTTGTGCAACTTGTTCAGGTCCAGGAGGTGGCAGAGCCAGGCAATGAATCTAGGTCCACCTGACCCTGAAGCTTGACCCTTACTGTTTCCAGCAACAAGAGCTAATATTGATTTCATCCTTATTCTATATCATGTGGCATGCTGAGCACTTAACCTGCAGTTTCTTATTGGATATTCAGGACATTTGATTCACAAATACTACTACTGCCATCATCTTACAGATGACGAAACGGAAGATTAGAGGGGCGCCTGGGGGGCTCAGCCAGTTAAGCGTCCCACTTCGGCGCGGGTCATGATCTCTCGGCTCGTGAGTTCGAGCCCCGCATCGGGCTCTGTGCTGACAGCTCGGAGCCTGGAGCCTGCTTTGGATTCTGTGTCTCCCACGCTTTCTGCCCCTCCCCCACTCATGCTCTGTCTCGCTCTGTCTCAAAAATAAAAACATTTTAAGAAAATTAAAAAAAAAGAAAGAAATAGAAGATTAGAAAGGCTTAAGTATCTTTTTTTTTTTTTTTTTTTTTTTTTTTTTTTTTTTTTTTTAAGGCAAAGTGAAATACACTCTTTTGGCATGAAATAGCTAAACTGGCCCTCCATGCTTCTGTGATTCATCTATACTTTGTCATGCACGCTGGCCTGGCTGGGGAATATCACGCTGTGTAGGACTGTGGGTGCCTTGCTCTCGTGTGCAAGAGTCCAAGAAAAATACTTGAGTCGCCAAGGTGAAACCCATCATACCAATAAACAGCAAAAAGCCCTTTAATCCTTCGATCAGTGAATGTTATACCTAAATAAAATAATTATTGCTTTCATAAAATGTCTCTGTTGGCCACTGACAGAGAGTAAACTGAACCAGCGTGTCCTACAATAGCCTTTAAATAACCAAGGAGAGAGATCAAAATAAAAATAAATCTTGACCAGATTTATAGGTGCACTTTGATTAGTTCTTGTTTTTTTCCTTCAAATAAGCAATACCTGAAAAAAAATGAAAAGGGAATGTTGGGACCAGATATCTTGTAATAGATGGGTCTTCTCTGACATACAGTATGGTATAATGCTGACAAAGTAATGCTGGCCCATCATTCGTGAGGCTTACTAGCCAACTAGAGCCCAGAAAAAAAAAGGGGATTTTTCAGGATGTGGAATGGCACAACCATTTGGATTTGAACAAACTTTCATTTTTTTAACTGTACTTCTTGAAGTGTGGGGTTTTGTTTTGTTCTTATGTTGTGACACTTTGTTATTTGCTCCACACAACAAATTCTTTGTTTCAGACAATAACAACTTTTTGACTCAAAAATTCTAACGTCAAAATCAAGTAGTTCATTCAGACATAATTCTGGTGCTGGCTAAGGAGAAGGCGTATCTTATAAGAATTTAATCGCGCACAACCGTGACGCACGCAAGTGGGGTTGTTTACACTCTAAGCTGTCACTTCCCAATGCACCCTGAATCATTAGCAGAAATACCAGTGAATAAACCCGGGTATCATTGTGTTTAAGAGAGTGAAAGTTTCATTTTTCTCTAAACCACCTTTTTAATGAAAACTTCTTTATTTCCCTCAGGCAGCACTTTATCTAAGATGTATTTGGCTGGTTGCATAAAAATACCCGGTAAAGGAAAGAAGGTTCCCATCAAAGCTGTTGAAATCTGATTTCATTTCAGATTCTAGAACTAATGTTGTTTTTTGTTTAAATAGATTTTGTCTGTCAATTTCCAGACCTGCTGTGCCATCAGCCTGTATGGACTGCTGTGGTCAACACGGGGGTTGTAGCAGCAAATTTTATTATGGACTGGTAATTGAATTGAACAGGTTTACATTTGAATAGATTTACTACATCATGATCTCTGACATACTGCACGGGACTGAAATCCCTCTCCATCCATAAAGATACATTTAAGACAGTATCATTCTCTCCAGGCTGAGGAGGCCAGTCTTGAGCCAAGGAGATGGCCAAACATAATTGTGCATTTATATGCAGGGTGTAATACAATATTTCACTGCATTTTTAAGTACAAAAGAAGAGGAATATTCCATGTTTACTCATAGCCATCCTTTTGGGGGGAGGGGCTTAGAGAACTGGTATTTTCCCATCGAAGTGGGCATAAGGAAGTAAAGGAAAATAAATTATTATTTAAGTATATCAGCAACAGCAGCAATTCCCTTGAAAACAGACCCTCTAAAGGCTTGATAAGGGCAACTGAAGAGGTGTGAATTACAGATAAGCACTGTCCCATTTCTTTTCACCAACAATGTTTAATTAAACCCAGTTCACACTTCCTCGTCACTCTAACCACCCTTCAAAACTGCTCCTGCTTCAAAACCACAACGTGGGAAATTATTTAGAGGAAATTTTATTATTATTTTTTTTACTTCCTCCATAAACCTGGAAGCGCAGAGTTGAGTAAATCATGGCAGTAAAATGAAACCAGTCAAAAAATGCTACCAACCTGGGAATGGAGACATATCTCCATGTACTTTAGTTTTTGAAAATAAAAGCCACATCTAGGACACAGCAATTCAAAGCGCTAATTGATATATTATTTTTATAGCACTTTAAATACATGGATTTGCTCTTTGAAAATGATTCCTCCACTCCCGACTCTTAATTTACCCCTTTTGAATGAGCGGAAGTTTAGTGCGAGTCTCTACGGCTCAACTAAGCGGCAACATAAAGACCAAAAGTCGACCACCAATTACTCACCATTTACTGTGAAGTAGGTTTTGTTTGTCACTCTTTTACAGGATTTAAGGCAATTGCTAAGATAAAGCTTTCAACCTCAAAAGAAGTGAGCTATCACCATCGTCCTAACTAAAAGGGAGATTCTTTGTCCTGTGCGTAGTGTCATTATGGTTGGGTTTTTATTTATGTTTTTCCTGGTCAAAACCGTCCCATTGGCATTTCCACTTAAGTTTTCTCTAGCAAGAGCAATCATACCCGACTTGCTCACTGTTGCACCACTGCAGTCTAGAATGATGCCTGGCACTCTGGAGAAACTTAATAAATATTTAGCAAGGGCATTATAAATATAAAATATACCAACTGTGAAAAATCCTAATAGTGCCAAAGGCTATACGGTGAAAAGGGAAAATACCCCTCCTCACTGGATTTACAGTGCCACACTGTCCCCAATCTTTATTTGTCCCTCCTTCTACTTCCCCATGTGCACCCTACCACAAAGCATATCTCCCTTCTACCATTCTTTCTCCTTTCTCTCTCTCCAGATATTTTCATATGAATTATTAAGATAAACTTTTTATAATTTTTATTTAATATAAATATATATTTGTATATAAAAATATATAGACGGTGAATCCTACTACTAGGGGATTTGTGCTTTATTTTATTTTATTTTTTTACTTGACAACACATTTTGTGTCACCTTTTCATAAGGCTTTAATTATACAATTATACACCCTTTGTTTATAGCTTTCCCCACCCGCCCCCCCCAGAGGAAGAGGAGAGTCAAGATGAGAAGAAGAATTGGAGAGTCTTCTCTGTTCCTAGTCAAATGAGGGGTTAGTTCTTAGTGGTCTAGTAAAGGTCATAAGAACATAAGTCCAAAAGAGAAGACTGGAAAAAAAGAAAGAGTGTTTTACACCTAAAATTAATTTTCTTAAAAAAGTGGTGGGGCGCCTGGGTGGCTCAGTCGGTTAAGCGGCCAACTCCGGCTCAGGTCATGATCTCGCGGTCCGTGAGTTCGAGTCCCGCGTCAGGCTCTGTGCTGACTGCTAAGAGCCTGGAGCCTGTTTCCGATTCTGTGTCTCCCTCTCTCTCTGCCCCTCCCCCGTTCATGCTCTGTCTCTCTCTGTCTCAAAAATAAGTAAACGTTAAAAAAAATTTTTTTAAGTGGTAACAATATGAAATGATGGCTATGTTGATTGGCTTGACTCTGGCGATTATTTCACAGTACACATGCACATCAAAACATCAAGTCATACACTTTAAATATATAGTTTTTATTTGCCAACTATATCTCAATTAACGACGGAAGGAAAAATCTCTCTGCAAACTTAGAAAAGAGAAGAAACACAAAAAGACAACGACTAGCCTCTTGGTGTCCTTCGACCTTCACCTCCTGCAAATTGTAAAGGCAAAAAGAACCAGAACTACCAAGCATACCTGGTGGGCTTAGCTGCACACGTGACGTTTCCCACCTTGTCCCCTCCTGTCGATGTCAAGCCGTCAGCCAGGACTCATCAGAAAACTCAGGCGTGAACAAGTATTCTGTCATCAGATTCAGGGTGCTTACTGTGACCCCCTCTTTTCGTGATTTCTGTAGCATTTCTGTAATCCCCTGCACACACCCCTTCCCCCATTCCCACCCTGAAGCGCGGGGCTTCTAACAACGTGCCTTACCTTCTTTCAGCATGCCCACTTTTAAACACTTCATGAAGCGGCAAGCCTGGCAGGATTTACGTCTGCGCTTTGTGATTTCACATTCATTCGTGGCGGGGCAGCTATATTCTATATTACCTAAAACACAGAGTTTGAAGGAAAGCGGTTAGATTTGCAAGACCCCCAAAATGTGAGCATCCCAAAGGCAACGTCTACGCATTCATCCTGCCCCTCCCCTCAAAAAAAGTCACAGGAGATTCATGAAGATGTCATAAATGTCACGAAGCTGTCTGCTCGGTAGCAACCACTTGAGATGCACTGAATAACTGGAAGATAAATGGTAAAGGATCTCAAAAGCTTAAGTTTAAGGTTAGCCTTTAAAACACTATGCTCAGTCTACCCGTGTAAAACATCAGTCTTTCAGAATCTTAGGATCGAAATGAATTTTCAAACTAGATTATTTCCGTAAAAGCACAAACGTCAAAATCATATTCTCGTATCATCAGTTCTGGATTTCCTTTGGTTACGAATGCTCCAATGCATCAGGCTTATCGTCTTTCTGACACTAAACAGCACAAACCCCACTGTGAAAAATTATCAGCAGGCTAACCTGGGGCCTTACAATAAGCTCCTAGAGGGCAGGGACCGAAATGACTTGGCTCTTACGAGGCCTCACAACATGGTTCTCTGCTTCATAAATGTTTATTGAAAAGGAGGAGGAAGAGGAGGAGGAAGAGGATGATGATGACCATCATCATCATCATCATGTTTGTTACATTATCTGCATTAATGAATTCCAAACACTCAAGCTCCATGAAAGTGTCATAAATAAAAATAAACTGCTACGAAACTACACTGTTAATATCAGAGTTGACATTATTTGTGGTCGTACTTACACCCTGGAAGTGATAAATATGTAGCCAGAAGAAGATCCAAACTTTAACTTGAAATTTTTTCAATTAATGCCAATGACAGCATGTGGGATGTGCTCTGGGGCTGCCTACAGCTTTGCAAAGAAGCTGCCTTTAAAATAAAGCCTCTCTCCCGTATCAGCTCTGTCACATAGTGCTTGAAGGTCTTTCCTTGCTTCCTAACCCTTTCCCCTTGTGATTAAGTGCATTAGTATCTTAATGAAAATGCATTCTGTTTATTGCCCTCTTGGGAAGGGGGAGGTCATCACACCAAATGCATAAATTGTCATCAGAGACGGTCCGAGCATAATTGCAATTTTGCTGCTCCGTGTTTGCAATACTCAGGGTCCATCCAAGTCCCCTGAAACATGCGCAGATTCTAGTAATTAGCATACAGTCTGCCTGGGACCACAGCATTGATGAAATATTTCAGAGTTAATCACACTTTGTAAACACTGATTTATATTGACTACCTTTCTCCAGACTGATGTCTCCTCATTAAATATCACATTAGTGGATTGCAGGATTGTACAAAGACTCAACTACTCAGCAACTGCTAATTCAACAGGAAGTAACACCTAACCACTTATAACTACTGAAAATTGGTTAAGTATGCATGACTAAAAAAATTTTTTAAAAAGCTGTGTACTATAACTGGAGATAAGCCTATCAAAACTGTTTGACTAAATTAGCATTCTAACTCAGGGCATTTATAGTAATAAAAGCAACTACTTTTTAACATAAGAGATTCAATAATAAGAGTAATATTAATCGCATCAACAAAGGCGCACACCATCATCTTCAGAGATATTACTAATACCCAGGAAACTGAGGATAAGTCAAAGGAACCAGACTGGCTGGGTCATGGCTGAGAATAAAAGGAATTAGGATCTGAACTTTAGATGAACCATTTTTCACTGCTGTGCTCCCTTAACCATCACTGGAAATTTCTTTTGCATCCAGGGAGTATTGCTAGTAATTTCCTAGGGATTAATTAGTATTCTACTACCAGATTCTTCCACTCTACATACCTCTTCCTATACTTATTAAAAAGAAACTCTGTCTTTGCTTTCTTAGAAAGAGCTGAACAATAACTATTAGGGAGGAAAAATGGTTTCCAAACAGCATTTCTTGCCCTGTTTTTGCCTAAAGATTCAGTATCAAGTCCTACCTTTGTTCACTTTCCAATATCAAAGCATGACCCACACTTTGAACTCAATGCTGGGAACTTCTACCAGGGTGACCCACCATTCCCCTCCCCGCCCCCACAAAAAAATCATCTTTCATTTCCAACCAGTTCCTCTTCATCTGAAAATTCTATCCTCATCCTCCACAATAACACACTTCTGACAGGAACCTAAGTCAGGCACGTGTGAGCTCACATGTGGACTGTGGGTGTGATCTCCTAACTGGGCATTTTGCCTCCATGCTCTCCCCCTGTAATCCATGCTGCATACCTCTTCCTAGGACTTCTTTGGGTACGTCGGTACCCTAATTAAAAAAAATCACTAGGGGCGCCTGGGTGGCTCAGTGGGTTGAGCGTCCAACTTCAGCTCGGGTCATGATCTCACAGTCTGTGAGTTCGAGCCCCGCGTCGGTCTCTGTGCTGACAGCTCAGAGCCCGGGGCCTGTTTCAGATTCTGTGTCTCCCTTTCTCTAACCCTACCCCGTTCATGCTCTGTCTCTCTCTGTCTCAAAAATAAATAAACGTTAAAAAAAATTCTGTTTTAATTTTTAAAAAATTAAAAAAAATCACTAGATTTCTATGGCCTCTTGAATTAAATATAAAATATTAGATTAGCAAACAAAATCCCCACTCCAATAAAACTCCTGTCTACTTCTCCAGCAATATTACAATTATTACCTTATGTGAACTTTCTGATGCAGCCATTTCAATTTATTCTTTTCCTGTGTCCTTCAGACTTCCCTCTGAGAATGATCTATCTTTGCCCCTCTTTTCTTCTTAAAATTACTTCCAAGTCACAATGTTCAACTCAAATTCCATTCAAATCTTTCATGAAAACCTCTCAGACCATCATAGCAGAAAATGACTTTTTGGTTCTCATATCTTTTCACGTACTCTCATCACCTACAGACATGCCATATTTTGTCATACCTTTTTTGCATGCATATTACCCATTAGATGGTAAGATCCTGGAGGCAAGGACCATTTCTTACACAGCAGAAAGAATCTTCCACCAAAAAGTAGTAAATAAGTAAAATAATATGCTTAGAAAGCTTATATTTTCTTGATTCCTCAAGGTCATTGCTTTGAACACTAATTATGGTGCTGTAATGTAGTAATGCCCACAAGGTCAAGAGCTAGACATCTCATCAGGAGGCAATGTTAAGAACACTAAGAAAATCTGGGGCGCCGGGGTGTCTCAGTCGGTGGAGCGTCCGGCTTCGGCTCAGGTCATGATCTTGCGGTTTGTGAGTTTGAGCCCCGCGTCGGGCCCTGTGCTGACAGCTCAGAGCCTGGAGCCTGTTTCGGATTCTGTGTCTCCCTCTCTCTCTGTTCCTCCCCAGCTCTGTCTCTCTCTGTCTCTTTCTCTCAAAAATAAATAAACATTAAAAAAAAAATTTAAAGAACACTAGGAAAATCATTCCACGAACCAAAAAACAGTATTCAGAAACCTAGTTAATTTTTTAAAACCTTGAAAAGTGGCTTTGAGAAAAATGAAATGCAAGGCAAAACAGGAAGAGATCATTGAGGGGAAAACCAAAAATATACAAAGGCTGCTAGGGAACAAAGTGTGAAAAGAAAAAAAAGAACTGTAAGAGGCTTTAAAGGAAATAAAAGAGCATCTTGATATGAATAGAATAAGAATGAAAGGAAAATAAAACATGAAAATACAGACAGATGACGCTAAAAGGGTTAACTTTTATCTTGTCATAGTACTTACTGGACACATTGGAGAAAATATTTAGGAGTGATTCAACAAGAGTAGCTAAATCTGTGATTTATGACCCTTCTAAGGATGATTGTGTAAAGATTTTTAAATTTCTTCAAAAAACAGAAGGAAAATTATAAAATTACCACGTGAGAATTTTACGTCATATATAAAGAAGTACTCTAGTTTCCTTTCTAACCATTACATTCCATAGTTCCTTGATGACAAAAAGAAATGTAAAGGAAGAGAAATTTTTAATAGTGCCTTAGGATGAACTTTGAGGGAGAAGATCTGTCTTATTCATTCTTGGATCCTTGATGCTCATCAATGAGCCTGCCATTTTGTATCATGTGATGGGCTGGAACAGAAAGAGGTAGTTCCTGCTCTTGAGAAGTCCACAGTCTTACAGAGGAGATAAGACTTGTAAGCAAATAACAGTACAGTTTGGTGTAGGGGGCAATGGTTCTGGATTCAGTATTAGCATGCATGTGCAAACACACGCGCTCCCACAAATGCAGAGATCATGCCTAAGAAGTCAACGAATTCTCAGCCTAGGAGTGAATGACCAAACTGTGCTGTGAAAAATGAATACCTAACTACGCTGTGGTAGAAGTATCTTCCCAAAGCTATAGGCAACAAAACATTTTTGTAAAAATTTCACTGTGAATGGATAGAAAATATAGTGGTCCTGAGTGTTTGCACAAATGATATATTTTCAGCTTAAGTGTACAGAAATTGTTTATGATGAATCAGGTATCCCTCAGCCAAATTTCAATAAATTAGCCTTCACATATATGAGTGATAACCTTGATTTCACGAAGTAACACCAGTTTATATCTTGAAAAACAAATCAACATTATTCTAAAGAACTTATGTGCTGGAGGGATACCTCTCTAATTTCAAAGCCCTCCCATTGAGTTTCAGTTCGTCGTTGTTGGCTATGATCACCCACCCAACAAAGTCTTTGATCCGTGTTGGAGTCTACACAGATTCTGTCCTTGAAATACCTTCCCTGGTGCTTTTTCAATGCAGTAATTTTTTTAAAGGCATTTTTATCCTAAAAATGTGCTGCCCCAAGCACCTGGGTAATAATGCTACATCTATTTTGGTAATGGCTCAAAGACATTACTCCCAGTAGACCACGTGACCTCTACGGGGCACTTGTTTTCCTTCGATTCGCGAAAAGTGGAAGGCAGGTAAAAATATTTCCAATAGCAACTGTGGGTACCTGGAATGTTAACACAGGACAGTCATTCGGGAGGAGGCAGAAGTTATTGTTCACAAGCTAGGATTCTCATTTCAGACACGGAGTTTTCTTGGATTATAGCTTGCT